TATGCAATGTACAATATTGCTTGACTCTTTGGGAACGTCCCTCATATGGGTCAGCAGATCAGACGGACCATCCTGAGCTAAGGGTATATAGCAATCGGCTAAACCAACTGATACATTTCAGCTTGTTAATATACAGATTATGTCTTATTTAAGGAAGAAATGTTGCGGCTAAGTAAATAAAAGTTGGAAGATGGAACGCGATCAGATAAGAGATTTATTACAGCAACCTGCAGAGCAGCAACAAGCTCGAATAAGAAAAGTTGTTTTTAGTCCGTATTACCCGCTTAATATTATTCGATCATAACAAAAATTGGTGACGATCGACCCATAACTACGGCCTGGATTTTGATTACAATCCTTAATCAACGGATGGACAGACACACAGCTTGATCGTCTTATATCGTCGGCCTATGAAGATTGTGATTATGAAGATTAAAGGAAAATATATTTGTTCTGTTTCTTGTTACGTTTCAATATCCTACATGACCGGTTGAGACACTGCAAAATCAGGAAAAAAATTGTCTTTGGTGTTTGCCTTAACATTTTGCGATCATCTCCAAAACAATAGGATAATATTCTGTCCCTAAGTCCAAATCCATTGAAAACTTCGTGAGGATTGCACCATAATTGCGTGTAAATTAACATGGACGGACACACATAGCTAGATCGACTCAGCTCTGCAGATAGGATAGGAGATATTACATATAAGGTCTAGGACCAATATTTCGATGTGTTACAAACTTTTTGGCCCAATCTAACTTATACTTCCCTCAATACATAGTGTTGGAGGGTACAAAAAAGCAAACATTTCTAATTGTTTATCTCTTTGAGATAATTTGTATAAACAATATAGGGAGAAACTGGTCGATTTTTGTAACGATAATTATCAGCTATTGTTGTTTCTGCAGTAAAGAATTAGGGATACACAAGTCGACTTACGATTAATCGATAGGTAGAAATGCCTAAAAGTACAAGACGATGTTAGTGGACATATAGCAAACAAATTACTTACTTTTCCATACAAAATTTAGTCAACACTATTTCTAATACGCATTTAGGCGGAGTTATAGTTGTTTTTTTTTTTTTTTTTTGGCGTATAATAGTTATGCCAATTCTTGAAATCGCGCAAAAATCTTGAATCAAAAATTTATAATTAGGCGAATGTATATACACCAAAAAGTATTTTTGACATGCCTCTTTTATGTTTATTTTGGAAATATATGTTATGAATATAAATTGAAAACTTTAACATTTTACGAAAATATTTAAAATATGAACGCAAAATATGTGATTTAATAGAAAATATATCTTTTAAGGAAATACCATTATGTATCATGTCGTAGATTGATTTTATTCGTGTTAATAGTTAAATGAGCGAACAAGTAATACAAACAACAGTAGATCGGTTTCAGAACTGCATGACTGTAAAAGCTTTTACTACGATAACCGATATAATAAAGGGAAAACCGGTAATTGATATTAAAGCCTTTGACAAAAAATTACTTACGCTGGTCCACGGTATTTCGGTATTTTGATGGTTTCTGCCAGAATTTCCAGAATTTTCAACTTTGACAAGCATAGTGGAATATATAAAAAGTTCAGCCCGGCCGAACTTAGTGCCTATTTTACTTGTTTTAATTTTTAATTTCATAAACAAGTCATGAATTTTACTACTCCAAATTCTCATAAGCATTACAGAAACAGAATCAATCGGCTAGTGTTACTGATAACCACGAATTACATTTTTTGTTCTCAAACATTTGGATTGTTTCGTTCGTAAATGTGCATGATCTGCGAAGTACTAACCACCAAGTGAATAGGGAGTATTAGAATAATACTGAGTATAGAGCGAAATAAAAAGAACCATAAATTAAGTGTTTTTGTTTTTTACAGGCGTGAGAGAGATAAACATAGCGCATGGTCAAGAATCCAGACTTTTGATATATCTCTATGTTTAGTTCAAATTATGAATAAACAAGAGACAAAGTTTTGCGTTGTGTCCCGTGTTTTTGTTCACTTTGATCATTTGCTCAAACGTATTCAAAACAAAAACGATGAGGACGAAGTGCGTTTATGCACAAATGATTTGATTACCTAACAATCGATTGTTTAGAATTACACTACTATTTCTCTACACTACTATTTATCTCAATCGAGTGCTGATTACATATTCGTAGTTTTTATATGTGTATGTATTGTGCTTAATGTTATAAACATTGGCTCTGTTCCAAAACCTGCAAGAATTTGTTAGTGTCCATTTTTTCCGATATCATAAAAGGACAATCGGTTATCGTAGTTAAAACTTTTACATTCTTGCATTTCTGAAACAGACCAATTATTTCAAATATTTGTAAATTAATACTCCATTTAGAATTAAGAAGGTAAAGTCATGCAATCATATGATTACAATTTTTTTTTTCTAAATTGTCCATTTGACAACATCTCAATGTTAAATAACTATTGTCAGTTTCGTTTCAAACATAAATATAAAGTCAATAACTCAAATGAGAACTTGTTTAATTTGAAGTGGCACGGAGGACAGTAGACTATTTTTATTGATTTTATGTTATTTTTGGATATTTTTAATGATGAAGTTACAGAAACTGCTCAAATCCAAACTCAAATCCACCATATAAACCTCATACAATTGTGATAAAAGTATACTGTAATGTATGCAAAATTTAAATTAAGGGAATAAATACTTATAGAACCACATTGAGGACAATAATATTAAACCAAATAAACTGAAACTTGATATTTGAGATTCTCGGTATGTCCTTTCTCCTTTTTCGTTGATCAACATAGTGGTGGAGGGTATAAAAAGTTCAGAATTTATGTTTTACAGCGTTGCCTAAAATTCGACGCGTCGTACAACCCAAATACACCAGGTCCATATCATTATACAAGCCATAAAAAACCAAAATTAACAAGTCGAAATTAACATAAAATAAAAATTTCAAGAAGATGACTTGAATTATGAACCAAAATGAAGAAAAAAGAACAGCTGTATTTTCTATAAAAGTCAAAAAATAAAGTACTCACAAAGAACTCCTTGTGTAGAAGTTCAGATAATTCTATTGAAAATTGTGGCTAAAAAGATGAAAATACACGGAGACGTGGACCTGCATAAGACGTTTTTTTGTCAAAGGCTTTAATATCAATTACGTACTTCAAACTGTCGCTTAAATCATCAAAATACCGAATATCGGGAGGTACCGTCACCGTGGACCTCAATGTACAATTTTGTATCATATGCTGTAGAACCTATTGCGAACTTCAAATACGAAAGACAGCATGTTTACAGCAGACGGACATCCATTTAGAATTTTACGCTGATCAAGAATATACATACTTTGTGGGGTCTAAAATGAGTATTTCAAGGAGTTACAAACGGAATTAAAAACTTAATATACCTTATATAGTATGGTGGAGGGTATAAGAAACAAATACGTCTTTCGTTTGAAGTCTTCTTATTAATTTAGTATGTAACTTTTCATTCGCGTTTTAATAAAAATGTGTGCTTTAAATGCGTTAAGTTTTTATTTATTTCCTTTCATAATTACTTTTTTCAGAAAAATCATATATTCACATACTTATGCAGTAATGTAACCAAAAATAATGACCTATAACAGTTCGATCACATTTTTTTATAGACAATGAAGAAATTAGTTCGTAATTGGGTGTCCAACAGCGAATTGCCTTCATTGTGAACTTGGCATAACTTAATGCAAAACATCTATTTGGAGTATAGAAAATTGATTTTCCTGTTTATATTACAATTCATCTTGTTAAATATCCATGATCGAACGACGTAATTCAGACAACAGTATGAACATGGCATAACGAGGTTAATTATTGTTATCGATATCAGATTGTATCGAAAAAGTTCCGTTGGATAAATTGCAATAGCCATTTAAAGTAAAGACACAAAGAAAGTGAAAACTATATTCTTATACTAAACAAAATTATAATTAATTCTGAAATTTTTTGGAGTATAGTCTGATTGCGAAATATAACGAGGCCTTCGAATTATTAGATGAACTATTTATTGCATTCGAAAGTCCATGAAATTTTGAAGGTAAGTTAGTTAATTTACATACATTGCTCTTGGAAAGAGATACATTTACACGCGACCTCCCAATTTTTTGTAAATGTCTTTTCCCAATAGCGGTGGTTAAAATATATATTTTTGAGATTAAAATGAGATCAACGCCCTGTTAATTTTGTAAATAATGTAATATTTCAGTCATACATGTATAAAATAATAGACATAAAACATAAGTGTTGAATTCTTTAATACATGTTCGTGAATTAAATGAGTAACAACATTAGGTGTATTCCAGCATAATTAATGAATAAGTTCCAGAGAATTCTGCATTTATGTTTTATATGTATCATTTTATATATGCATGGAACAATGCAAAGATCGCAAACTCGATGATGTTTTAATCGATTTTTGAATTTTTTTTAAGCAGTTTCTGTACTCCAAATACAAGAAACCATAGATAATTTTAAGCTAGCAATTATGATTGCTTTGGAAAAAGAGAGATAGCCATATACTTAGAGTTGTGAAGTAAAATCATAACGGTTTCAGACAAAGCGCGTTTCTTTTGGCGTCATTCTATTTAAAGTACTGTTATGAAAAGTAAAGAACACATTTTTACCAAAGGTGCAAGACCTAGTGTTAAAAGACGAAATTCTAAATTTTGCTTTAGAATTTGGCCAACACACATATATTTCTTCAGCTTAGAATAACTAATTATGTTTTATAGTACACCCCACTTGAGCAACACCATGTTTTCCTTGGTAAAATTTGTCTACGAGCATATATTAACTCAAAAACCATTAAACAGAAATCCGAAGCGGAGTGCACAGTAAATTATAAAGGTGCAACCTATTTGGCTCAAATTATCCTTGCAAGTGGTAAGTTTAAGTGTAATATACCTTGTATATATTTATTTAATACATTTCTTTAGATGACAGGGATCATCTGTGTAACATAAAGGAAAAAAATCATCGAGCTTTACACGAACAAAAAAACATAAAAGAGAGCAATGTTTCCCACAATGAATTTAGCAACGACACACAAACAAACAATATTTCGCATTTTAAGAACACACAAAATTGTTCCCAATATGCAATATCAGCTGTAGGAGAATCCTTGGAGTCCATATCTCCTACAAATGTTTTAAACACAACTTCTTAAATCGTTTCAAATGGCATTAAAAAGGCCGCCACTTTGGCATCATCGAAAGCTGATTTCAGAGAAGCTTCGCGGAACTTATGTCTTAATGAAACGTCAAATGATCATTGGACTTCCGTAAGGTAAGTAACTATTATATAATAAACGATAATCTGAAATATTACATTAGGTGAACGTCAGCCGCTGCAAATATTTATAGATTAGCGGCATACAGGGTCTAGATCCAGTTATGATGGTCAATCCGAATATCCATGCCATTTGGACGCACGATTTTAAAAAGTCGGTAAATACATTCGAAAGAAAATTGGCTTAGACTCATTTTAGAATACATAAATTTAAATGACATATTTGTTCGAGATCTGATAATATTAGGAAATTTACGGAATACATGGTCCAGATCTATTTTTGATGGACAATTCGAATATCCTTGGCTTTTCGAAAGTTGACCAAAAAAAATTATTTAGTATAAATTTCTAACACTTGCTATATTTTGAAATATGAATATATGTTGATCTTAACGGAATACATGTATAGATACATTTTTTATGGTAAATCCAAATATATATACAGGTTGGACACATGCCTCCAAAAAGTCGGAAAGTTGCCTTAGTCAAGTACAGTTCCTGACCATGGATGTTCGGATTGACCAGCGAAAATCGGTCTAGACCATGTAATCCGTTATCCTCTATATATTTTTAAATCTCGAAAAAATACTGCATTCATATTCAAGTATTGGGAATATTGACTAAGTGAATTTTCTTTTTTGTCAACTTCCCGTCTTTTCGGAGGCGTGGATCCAAAAGGTCAGTACCTTCGGGTTGGCCTTCAAAAATGGATCTAGATCATTCAGATCTCGAAATATATGTCACTTAAATACAAGTACTCAAAATATTTTCTAAATCAATTTTCTTTTGATTGGATTGGCCATTGTAGATGCATCTAGACTATAACGTTAATCTCAAAATATTGTGAGATCTCGAAAAATCTGTCTATTAAATTCAAGCATTGAAAAATTTGAATAAGTCAATTTTCTTTCGAACCAACTTGTCGACTGGTTGGAGACTTGCATCCAAATGGTGTATATATTCGGATTGCCTATTGAAAATGGATCTAAACCATTTATTCCATTAATCTCTTATTATTTTCAGATCTCGAAAATGTACGACTATTCAACATTTTGACCAAGTCAATTTTCTTTCGGTCCAACTTACCCACTTTTTGGAGGCGTGCGTCTTAATAGTATACATATTTGAAAAGGCCATTGAAAATGAATTCAGATTGCGTATTGTGTTATACTCTAATTGTTTTCAGATCTCGAAAAAATATGGGTTTTAAATTCAAGTATTCAACATTTTGATTAAGTTTATTGTTTTAGTTGCATTTCACAAAATCTTGGGGTCGTGCGTACAATCGGTTTCGATCTCGACATCTAAAGGTAATTACAGATTAAAAGCACACACGGTCTAGATTCATATTCGATGACCAATCCGAATATCCATATTGTTTGAACGAACGCCACAAAAAATAGCGAAGTAGGCTTGAAAAAAAATTGACTTAATCAAAGTTTTGAAAACTTCAAATTAAATTCCATATTTTTTAAGTTCTGAAAATCTTTAAAGATTATCCAAATACGTGGTTTAGATACATTTTCTATGGGCAATACAAATATGGATACCGTTTAAACCCAAGTCCCCAAAAAGTTGAGAAGCGTACACCAAAGAACTTTGACTTAGTCAAAATTTTCAATACTTGAAGTTAAATGTCATATTTTTGGAGATCTAAAATATTTAGAGATTAACGAAATACAGAGTATAGATGCAATATAGGACATTCCAAAAAGGACATTCCAAAAAAAAAAAAGAAGTTGGTCCGAAACAAATACTACTTCTTCAAAATTTTTATACCCTCCACCATACTATGGAGGGTATATTAATTTTGTCATTCCGTTTGTAACTCCTTGAAATACTCATGTCAGACCCAACAAAGTATATATATTCTTGATCAGCGTAAAATTCTAAGACGATCTCGTCCTGTCCGTCTGACTGAGTGTCTGTCTGTCAGTCTGTCTGTTGTAATCACGCTATCTTTCGAACAAATTGAGATAGAAGGCTAAAATTTTGCACACATGTATATTTTGCCAGTAGGCAGGTTAAGTTCGTAAATGGGCCATGTAGGTCCAAGAAATCATATAGCCCCATATAACGGTACCTCCCGATATTCGGTATTTTGATGATTTTAGCGACATTGTTTACCGGAATCGTTTCAAAGTTGGCATTTGAAGTTCGTAATGGATACTACAGCCCAAGACAAAAAATAATCTATGTAGGTCCCATTTCTTCGTATAGCCCCTATATAATGGTACCCCCCGATATTCGGTATTTTGATGATTTTAGCGACATTATTTAACGGAATCGTTCCAAATTTGGTATTTGAAGTTCGTATTAGATACTGCAGCATAAAACAGAAAATGGGCCATGTAGGTCCACGTCTTCGTATAGCCCCCATATACCATACGCCCCGATATTCGGTATTTTGATGATTTTAGCGACATTATTTACCGGATTCGTTTCAAAGTTGGCACTTGAAGTTCGTAATAGATGCTGCAGCATTAAACGGAAAATGGGCCATGTAGGTCCACATCTTCGTATAGCCCCCATATAGCGTACCCCCGATATTCGGTATTTTGATGATTTTAGCGATATTATCTACCGGGATTGTTTCAAATTTGGCATGTGAAGTTCTTAATGGATACTTCAGCCCATGCCAGAAAATTGTCTGTGCAGGTCCACGTCTTCGTAAAGCCCCCATATAAAGGTACCCCCTATATTCGGTGTTTTGATGATTTTAGCTACATTATAAACAGATTTTTCTTCAAGTTTCGCATTTAAATATTGTAATAACTTATGACAAAAGTAGCCTATGCAGGTCCACGTCATCGTATAGGCATTTGGAATTTTTAAGATTTAAACAGAATTTTTAACGGATTTTACTTTTATACCCTCCACCATACTATGGAGTGTATATTAATTTTGTCATTCCGTTTGTAACTCCTCGAAATACTCATGTCAGACCCCACAAAGTATATATATTCTTGATCAGCGTAAAATTCTAAGACAATTTAGCCATGTCCATCTGTCTGTCTGTTGTAATAATCATCAAAATAATAAATTCAACATTAGGAGAATCATAGTGCAGCAATTTGCTTAGTAGGAAAGGAAGATGTTTTGTTTTTTGTTTAATCATAAATGGGCCATGTAGGTCCAAGTTATCATATAGCCCCCATATAACCGTACCTCCCGACATTCAGTATTTTGATGATTTTAGCGACATTATTCGCCGGAATTGTTTCAAATTTGGCATTTGAAGTTCGTAATGAATACTACAGCCCAAGACAGAAAATTATATGTGCAGGTCCACGTCTTCGCGTAGCCCCCATATAACGGTACCCCCGATAATCGGTATTTTGATGATTTTAGCGACATTGTTTACCGGAATCGTTTCAAATTTGGTATTTGAAATTCGTAATGGATTCGTAATCCTAAGTCAAAAAATAAGCCATGTAGGTCCACGTCCTCATATAGCCCCCATATAACGGTAGCCCCCGATATTCGCTATTTTGATGATTTTAGCGACATTGTTTAGCGAAATCGTTCCAAATTTGGTGTTTGCAGTTCGTAATAGATACTGCAGCATAAAACAGAAAATGGGCCATGTAGGTCCAAGTCTTCATATAGTCCCCATATACCGTACCCCGCGATATTTGGTATGTTGATGATTTTAGCGACATTATTTACCGGGATTGTTTCAAATACGGCATGTGAAGGTCGTACTTCAGCCCATGCCAGGAAATTGTCTGTGCAGGTCCACGTCTTCGTATAACCCCCATATAACGGTTCCCCCCATATACGGTATTTTAATGATTTTAGCTACATTATAAACAGTTTCGCATTTAAATACTGTAATAATTTATGACAAAAGTTGCCTATGCAGGCCCACGTCGTCGTATAAGCATTCGAAATTCTTAAGATATTAACAGAATTTTTAACGGATTTTATTTTTTGGAAATTGTCAAATTTGTACCAAATGGTGGAGGGTATTAAAAGTTCGGCCCGGCCGAACTTACAGCTTTTTTACTTGTTAATACTAGAATGTAAATAACATTTTTTTTTGATATTTGATATAAATATATATTGTGAGAGTTTTAATGCTTCAATTGAAATATTATATTTTTTAAATTGTGAAAATATTTAGAGATTAACGAAATGCATGGCCTAGATCCATTTTTGATGACCAGTCCGAATATGCATACCATTTGTACGCACTTCCCAAAAAAGTATGGAAAGAAAATTGACTTAGTTAAAATTTTGAACACTTAAAATTAAATGCCATATTTTATGTAGTTCTGAAAATTTTTATTGATTATCGAAATGCATTGTCTAGAACCATATTGGATGGCCAATTTGCGCCACCAAAAAGTTGGAAAGTGACGCCAAAGAAAATAAAGTCTATTTTAATACTTGCATTTAAATGCAATATTGTTGGAGATCTTAATATATTTCGAGAATAACGGATTACACTGTCTAGATCCATTTTCAATGGCTAGTCCGAAGATGCATATCATGTGGACACACTTCCAAAAAGTCTGAAAGATGGCTCGAAAGAAACTTGCCTTAGTCTTTGAATACTTAAATTTAAATGGCATATTATATTTAGTTCCGAAAATCGTTATAGACAATCGAAGGACATTGTATAAATCAATTGTTCATGGCCAATCCGAATATGCATACCATATGGATGTTCACCTTCAAAAGATTAACGGAATAAACGGTCGAGATCTATTTTCAATGGCCAATCCGAATATGCATATCGTTTGAAAGCACGCCTTCAAAAAGTCGGAAAGTAGTCACCAACGTAAATTTACTTTAACAAAATTTTTAATACTTGAATTTAGATGCCATAATTTTCGAGATCAAAATATATTTAGAGAATAAAGGAAATCACATTTTAGATCCGTTTTGGATGGTCAGTCCGATTATGTAGACCGCTAGGAATCACGGCTTCCAAAATTCGGGAAGTTGGCCCGAAGGGAAATTGAGTTAGTCAAGTCAATTTTTTTGGTGACCACTTCCTAACGGATCTTAATCACGTATTCCATTAGTTTTAAATAAAGGCATGTACATTCAAGGATTCAAAATGTTTACGGATTCAATTATCTTTGGTGTCCACTTTCCGAGTTTTTGAAGGCGTGCGTCGAAACGGTATGGATAATCGGATTGGCCACCAAAGATAGATCTGGACAATATATTCGGTTAATGTTTAAATACGTTAATATCTCGAAAAACGTGGTATTTAAATCTAAGTTTTAAAATTTGACTAGTCATTCTTTATGTCCACTTTCAGACTTATTAGGCGTATGACGAAATTGCATGTATATTCGGATTGTTCATCCAAAATGGATCCAGGCCATGTATTTTCTTAATCTCTAAATATTTTTAGATCTCGAAAAATTTGGCATTTAACTTTAGGTATTGAACATTTTGAATAAGCCAATATTCTTTCGGGCCAACTTCTACAATTTATGGAGTCTGGACCCACGCCTCCATGGTGTGTATATTCTGTTAATCTATCGGATATGGATGAAGAGTATATATGCGCTTAATCTGCTATCCGTTAATCACCAAAGATTTTCTTAATTAAATAAAATATTGCATTGTTAAATTCAAGTATTCAACATTTTCAGTAAGACAAATTTCCAGTTGCATTACTTAACATTATGGGGTCGATATCTGAAAAATATTAGAGATTAATAGAATACATGATGTAGATCCATTTTCGATGGCCAGTCCGAATATCCATATCGTTTGGACACTCGCCACAAAAACTCGGGAAATTGGCCTGAATGAATATTGACTTAGTCAACATTTGTAAAACTTTAATTTCAATGCCTTTTAATTTAATTCTGAAATTCTTTGAAGACTGGCGGAATACATGGTCTAGATAAATTTTCGATGGTAAGCCGAATATTCATACAGATTAGATGCACGATTCCAAAAAGTGGGAAAGTTGACACCAAAGAAAATTGACTTTGTCAAAATTTTTAATATTTTAATATAAATGCTATATTTGTCGAGACCTAAATATATTTAGAGAATAACGGAATACATGGTCTTGATCCATTTTCGATTGCTAGTCCGAATATTTATACCATTTAGACATACTTCCTAACAAAGTCTGGAAGTTGGCTCGAAAGAAGATTGACTTAGTCTAAACTTTGAAAACAGAATGTAAATGCCATATATTTTTGACATCTACAGATATTTAGAGACTAACGGAATACAAGATTTAAATCCATTTTCGATGGCCAATCCGAATACCCATACCATTTAGATGCCAGTCGAAAATAGTCGAGAAGTGGACACTAACGGAAATGGAGTTTTCGGTATTCAATATTTTGACGATTGAAGTCCTATTTTCCAACAGAATTGTTTAAGATTTGGTATTAAAAGGTTGTAATGGGTTTTACCCTGACAAATAAACTCTGTTTTAATACGTATTTTTGAAACGTGGATTTTTGACAATTTTTATTTAAAACATTATATATTTTATTTTAGGCTCGACATGTTTTCTTTGGTGACATTTGACAACAATAGCTGGTATGTTGTCAATTCCAAATCTGTTAAAGAATATGACGGAAAAAACTGCATCGTAAAATACAAAGGAGCCTTCTATTCAGCACAATTAATTTCAACAAGCCGTAAGTATATAATTTCTTTCGAGTTCCTAAATTAATTGTTCGTATAGAACAAAATAGATTTATATATAAATATATTTTTAATTCCAAATACATCCAAACCCTGATCCGCGTTATATTTAACAAGCGTTGATTTTCTTAAGTTTGCAACAATTTTAAATGGTCGACTTGTGACAAATATATTTGTTATCTATCATATATGTATTTTAAACTCGGGGTTTTGGTGTAATAGGATTTTTTGGGAATTAAATTCATACACAGATATCATTCTCATGCAAGATTCAAAAATCGTATTTCTCTAGATGACAAAGCACATCTTCTAGATTTAAAACAAAGAAATACGGATCGAAGTTCTTATATGAATGCCGACCATAATTCAATGCAACAATCAATTCATACCAATTCAGGAATCTCAATTTCTCCAACAAATTTGTGTGCATCCGATCTTCCACCGGCAAAAGATTATACGGAACCAACTTTATTGCACAAACCATATATAACTTCAATACTAAATCTCGATGAGCAGAAATCAGATAAAACGGAGTCAACGACTGAATCAAACATTAAGCCTTCAGAGAATTTTTTAATGAATATGTACACCCTAAAGCTGGACTAAGACCTATACATATAACTCCCCGAAAGAAAACAGCTAGTAAGCATTTAACTGGTGCTAAAACTACTCCAAAAGATGATAATTACTCTTTAAATATGACAATATTTACCGATTCAGAGCAATCTTCCAGCAGTATATCAGATATATGTTCAACTGACTCTGTGTTGAGTAATATTGGCTTAAGTTCTTTACCTTTCGGCTCACCGAAAAGGAAATGTGTGGAAGAATCTAACGACAATGTATCCTGCAATGCATTAAATATAAGCTGTATTGATAATTGGGAGTGTTGTAAAAATTCAACATCTGTCGAAACTTTCGTTGAAAATGCTGACATAAGTAGTATCAAGAAAACCTCTATTACCCTGACAAATATTGATTCTTCTGCGTCGAAATACCTACCTAGCTCGGCAATAGAAAACACAAGCACAAACATTAGCTCTTTTTTGGAGATTTCAAATACTTTAAATTTGGATGGAGTTACCGTTCCTGTTTCAAAGCAAAGATCGAAGCGTCATTTTTGTCTATTTTGCAAGACTCTGCAATGCAAAATTGCAAGACATTTCTTTCTGAAACACAAAAGCGAAAAACTCGTAAAACTAGCCATGGCACTACCGAAACGTAATAAAGAGCGTTTGCAAATAATTGAGAAGCTACGAAAAGAAGGGGATTTCCTCCACAATACATCGCAAGAGCAAAACACAGGTACTTTGATTGTACTTAGACAGCAAGGACAAAAAGCTAAACATACACCCAATGACTACGTATGCTGTCCGTCGTGCAAAGGTTTTTACGCAAAATTTACCGCAAGGGCACATATACGATATTGTACTAAGAAAAAAAATGGCAGATCGAATTTTATAGAGGGACGAAAATTAACTCAATACGTACATCCTGTTGCAAACACAGCAATGAAGAGCACCATTTTTCCAGTTTTGCGAAACGACGATATAACCCGTGCGATTCGTTACGACGAGTTAGTAATTAGAAATGGAAACAGATTGTCCGAAAAATTGTCGCAAACTCACCATAATGATCACATACGAGCAAATATGCGACTACTGGGGCGGTTTAAAATAGAATTATTAAAATTAGCACCGGAAATCTTAGAACTTAAAGATATGTTCAAACCCTTTTTGTTCGACAAGGCAATAGAAGCTTTGCGATTGACAGCAAAATATGAATTCGGCAAAGGGTTTGCCACGCCGGCTGTAGCTACCAATTTGACAAGTATAATAAAAAACTGTGCACGAATACAGAGGAATGAGTTTATCAAGCAACAAAATGATGATATGAAGTCTCTTCTTGACAACTTTGTGTCCCTTTGGACTGAGGAAACCCCCACTCAGATTAATAAAAAATCGATCGAGGACCAAGATAATCAAAAAAGAAACAAAAGAAATGGTTTGCCAAACAAACAAGATATACAAAAGCTATACGACTTTCTGAGATCAAAAATGCTGGACTCAATTGCAGTATTAACGGAAAAATTTGATTTAAACGCTTGGAAGAATCTCGTTGAGACAACCTTAATATGTATCCAGGTGTTTAACAGGAGAAGAGCAGGAGAAATAGAACGAATAACTATTGACAATTTTATCAATAAAGAAGAAATTACAAATTGTTTGGAGGCAGGTCTTCTTGACAATATGTCAGAGGAGTCAATTCAATTTGCCAAACAATTTGTAAGAATATCATTGAGGGGCAAATTAGGAAGAACAGTCAGCGTATTATTGGATCCGATGTGTATAAAGGCTGTGCAACTTATTTTAAAATTTCGCAAAAATGCTGGTATAAAAAATTCGAACCCATATATATTTAGCGCTCCAGCAACATCAAAGCTGTCAAAAATGTACTACAGAGCGTGCCCATTGTTAAGAAAATACGCAAACGAATGTGGAGCTTCCATGCCTGACAATCTAAGAGGCACAAAATTGAGGAAACATATCGCCACATACACGTCCTTATTAAATGTCCAAGAAGCTACTGTTGACAGATTAGCCAACTTCCTAGGCCATCATAAAGACATACATAAAAACATATATCGAATGCCTGTTCCAATGGCCATTACAGTCTCTAAATTTTTATTATCTGCTGCTGGTTGCAATACATCATCAACCATTGAAGTTTCAAAAAATACTAATTCTTCTAAGTTAAAAAAACGTAGCAGTAAGTTTAGCAAAAAAGTATATAAAAAACATTGAAATACTTTTCTTTAGTCTTCCTTTACCTAAATATTCCTTCTGTTTCCTTAAAACCGAATAAATTTGTGCGAGTTACTACAAGAGCCGTCTAATTTGACCATACTTAAGATTGACTACATTAAAATATATATGGGCACGATACCTACCATTATGACTATATCGAAATTGGACAAAAATTGTGTTTTTGGTGCATCGAAGGTATGCATGAGAGCCTTTAAAAATTTTAATTGGATAAATGTTGCGTAATGGATTCATTTAATTCTTCATATGGGGCTGTATCTAACTCTGAACCGATTTCATTATCCAATTCCGTGACAATTTACTAATTTCTATGAAATTGAACATACATTTAGCGTTTTGTGCATCAACTACATCAAATTGTCTGAAAAAATATAAAAGCGCTTTATCCAAATCTCCACCAATGTTCAACAAAAACAACATGTTTAACTGAATTGGGCGATGAATGCGTTCTATAGGCTGAGCACTGATGGTCGGAAAGTATAAATCGACTCAAATTTTTGGCCTATTCATATCACCTAAAGCAACATGGGTCCATCTCGATTCCTTTTGAATGCTACAAGCTAATGCATAATTCGATAGTGTCCCTACCACTGCCTGATATAGGGTATAATGAGGTTAATAGTAACTCGCTCAAATTCGTTCATCTAACATTTTAAGGGGATATGAACTTACTACTTTTTGATATCCCGTAGCTTCTCCGTTCGGAAAAACAAAACGCACTAGATGGTCTGAAGACGAAAGACAAGCAATAACATTGGCTTTTGGAGATATTTCAAGCTTAGAAAAGTTGCCTTCATTGAATGAATGCAAAAATGTCATAAATATTTATGGAAGTCTCCGAAATAGAAAACAGGCTCAGGTTAAAGCCTGGATAGACAACCAAAGAAGAATTTTTCGCTCTTCTAAACCGTAAATAAAGTTTTTAATACAGTGAGGTAAATAAAATTGCTTGTGTATTCCTTAAACTAATTTTATATTTACTAATTTCATTATAATTTTTGCGATTCAGTTTCAGCACATATTATTTTTATTGGAATAATCTTTAGAAAACAAACACATGTGGAGTTTGCTCGAAAGAAATGTTTATTATGTAAGTATCCACAAATTTATATAGTTTTCAATTTGTGTATTATCGCCAAATTGCATTTTTACTCAAAGGATAACTTTCCATAATATCCTTTGCTGATTTGAAAGTTTGAATTGATTTGATGATTTTTGTGAATAATGTTTGCTAAAATCACATTCTTCAAATTTGAGCTAAGCTTTTTATTCTAATCATCCTTCGGAATATCTCCCAGATTGTATAAAATTTATTTTTAAGGAAATATATATATATATATATATATATATATATATATATATATATATATATATATATATATATATATATATATATATATATATATATATATATATAAACCACACCATTTATGCAAAAATATAATTAAAGTCTATGATTTTATCGTTTAACCAAAACTATTCTTTACAGAAACCTATACACAAAACAACGTAGTGTACGTCATTAGATACCTTAAAAATTGTGGCATTGCTTCCATATGTTTCAAATTGACTGGTTAAAAATATGTTTGTATTTGCAGTTATTGCCATAACACGTATTCTTTATAAGCAACACTAAGGTGTGCACTACCAATAATTGTTTCTTAAAGTACACACTACTAATGGTATACGATGTTTGTAATATACGCGCTTAAAATGTCCAATCTGCAAACGAATGTACAAAATATACATTAACGATAAATACTTTTTATTGTTTGTACTTTACCTAGTTGTAGCATAACTTTTCTTCCCAGTCAATTTTTTTTTTTATAAAACGCCGGGTATCTTCACTGCAGCGTCCCACTTACCAAAAAAAAAAAAAAAAAACAAGTAAAAAAGCTGTAAGTTCGGCCGGGGCGAACTTTTAATACCCTCCACAATTTGGTACAAATTTGGCAATTTCCAAAAAATAAAATCCGTTAAAAATTCTGTTAATATCTTAAGAATGCCGAATGCTTATACGACGACGTGGGCCTGCATAGGCAACTTTTGTCATAAGTTATTACAATATTTAAATGCGAAACTTAAAGAAAAATCTGTTTATAATGTAGCTAAAATCATTAAAATACCGTATATGGGGGGTACCGTTATATGGGGGCTATACGAAGACGTGGACCTGCACAAACAATTTTCTGGCATGGGCTGAAGTATCCATTACGAACTTCATATGCCGTATTTGAAAAAATCCCGGTAAATAATGTCGCTAAAATCATCAACATACCGGATATCGGGGGGTACAGTATATGGGGACTATATGAAGACTTGGACCTACATGGCTCATTTTTTGACTTAGGATTACGAATCCATTACGAACTTCAAATACCAAATTTAAAACGATTCCGGTAAACAATGTCGCTAAAATGATCAAAATACCGATTATCGGGGGGTACGGTATATGGGGGCTATATGAAGACTTGGACCTATATGGCCCATTTTCTGTTTTATGCTGTAGTATTTATTACGAACTTCAAGTGCCAAATTTGAAACAATTCCGGCGAATAATGTCGCTAAAATCATCAAAATACTGAATATAGGGAGGTACGGTTATATGGGGGCTATATGATAACTTGGACCTACATGGCCCATTTACGACAGCGTGATTACAACAGAGAGACAGACGGACATGGCTAAATCGTCTTAGAATTTTACGCTGATCAAGAATATATATACTTTGTTGGGTCTGACATGAGTATTTCGAGGAGTTACAAACGGAATTAAATAATTAATATACCCTCCATAATATACCCCCATAGGAGGGTATAAAAATAAAATCCGTTAAAAATTCTGTTAAAATCTTAAAAATACTGAATGCCTATACGACGACGTGGACCTGCATAGGCAACTTTTGTCATAAGTTATTACAATATTTAAATGCGAAACTTGAAGAAAGATCTGTTTATAATGTAGCTAAAATCATCAAAACACCGAATATAGGGGGCACCGTTATATGGGGGCTATACGAAGACGTGGACCTGCACAGACAATTTTCTGGCATGGGCTGAAGTATCCATTAAGAACTTCACATGTGAAATTTGAAACAATCCCGGTAAATAATGTCGCTAAAATCATCAACATACCGAATATCGGGGGTACGGTATATGGGGGCTATACGAAGATGTTTACCTACATGGCCCATTTACTGTTTAATGCTGCAGCATCTATTACGAACTTCAAATGCCAAATTTGGAACGATTCCGTTAAATAATGTCGCTAAAATCATCAAAATACCGAATATCGGGGGGTACCATTATATGGGGGCTATACGAAGACGTGGACCTACATAGATTATTTTCTGTCTTAGGCTGTAGTATCCATTACGAACTTCAAATGCCAAATTTGAAACAATTCCGGTGAATAACGTCGCAAAAATCATCAAAATACCGAATATCGGGAGGTACCGTTATATGGGGGCTATATGATTTCTTGGATCTACATGGCCCATTTACGCACCTAACCTGCCTACTAACAAAATATACATGCGTCCATGATTTTGTTCGAAATATAGCGTGATTACAACAGACAGACAGACAGGCAGACCGACGGACAGACAGACAGACAGACAGACACACAGACAGACAGACGGACATGGCTAAATCGTCTTAGAATTTTACGCTGATCAAGAATATATATACTTTGTTGGGTCTGACATGAGTATTTCGAGGAGTTACAAGCGGAATGACAAAATTAATATACCCTCCATAGTATGGTGGAGGGTATAAAAAACGCTAGCACCAAAAATCCTTTAGTGCCCGCCACAGAAATAAAGACAGTGTTTGTCCTTCTGTTAGTGTAGAAACTTTTCGCAGAGTGTTACGCGAGAACAACCTTTATGCAAGGAGTCCGAAAAAGGTGCCACTATTAAAAGAAAAATACACGTCACAAAGCGATTTAAGTTTGCACAATCACATATGGAATGGCCAATAAAAAATGGAGAAACATTCTATGGTTGGATGAGTCCAAAATTGTTTTATATTGTGGTACTGGGTCCCGACACCGGATCTAAATCCAATTGAAAATTTGTTGTGCGATATCAAAAAGGAGGTGGCCGTAGCTGAACCCAAAAATAGTAATGAACTGTGGGTGGTACTTCAAGGAGCCTGGCTAAAAATTCCATGCGAATACTGCCAACATTTGGTCAATTCAATGAAACGTCGCTGTGATACGCAACAGAGGTTTGCAACAAAGTATTAATTTCTAGGGAATAATGCACTTCACATGAATAATAAGGCTACAGTTAAATATAAGGACATTAAATAAATTTATGTTAAGTTTTTATTACAATTGGTATTTTTTTGACCGACTTTATTTCGGAAATAAACTCTATTTAACACAATATTTTGAAAATACAAAATTTTTCGTTTTTCAATGTAAATATTAAATCATAATGTAATACCTTTAAATATCGCAGAGAACATTACGCTATTCGTACGAAAAAAGTTGGGTTTTTTAAATAGAAATATTTCAAGGCACTGCGCTGCTATTTATTTATTTATTTTTTTTGACCGCAGCTTTATATATATATATATATATTTTTTTTTTTAAATTTTATTAAATTTGCTTTACCTCATTTATTTTATTAATATTTGCGAGTCCGCGATCTCGGTATTGCAAAAAAGGCACGTATACATTCATTGATATATATGTGTCCTAAAGCTGTTGACAAGAAATGGTTTTTGAGGCTGCGAAATAATGGATTATTCCACCGTTTATTACTCTGTACTCGTCGATGTGTTGATGGAAAAAGGTACTGTGAAAAAACAAACAAATTTTGAATCAATTTTAAAATTATATACAAATATTTTAAATATATATACCTCTTATTTTTTCTATGAACATGTCTCCGTTGCTTGTCTATCCACAGAAACAGAAATAACTCCAAATATGGACTTCACGGCTTCTATTTCTACATTGGTTCACTTGGTATGTTTGATTTTGCCTGGAATTTATGATATTTTAATAACCGTTTTAAAGAAATTGCACTTTAAATAATTCTGTTACCAATTTAAAAAACCGAATGCAGCCGTTACATAGGGGTCTGTACGACGTGAATCTACATAGGCATTGTTTGTCATAAGCCATTACAATATGCAAATTCGAAACTTGAAATAAACAGTGAATAATGTAGCTAAAATTATCTAAATACCGTATATAGGGAGGTACCGTTATATCGGAGCTATACGAAAACCTGGACCTGCATAGATACTTTTCTTTCACATGCTGTAGCTTCTATTACTAACTTCAAATACGATATCTCTAACAATTTCGGTGAGTATTGTATCTAAAATCGTTAAAATACCGAATATCGGGAGGTACCGTTATATGGTGGCAAAATTTTAGTCATCTATCTCAATTCGTTCGAAAGGTAGGGTGATTACAGCAGACAGACAGACGGACATGGCTAAATCGTCTTAGAATTTTACGCTGATCAAAAATATATGTACTTTGTGGTGTCTGGCATGAGTATTTCGAGGAGTTACGAACGGAATGACAAGACCACAGTATGGTGGAGGGTATAAAAACATTAACTGACAGATATTTATTGTACTTTTGACCATGGCATTGAAAAAGAACTTCGGAAATGTACCAACCCATTGCACTTTTAGATTTCTTGAAAAAATGTGAGTTACACACTAAGGCAATTGAACTTTTTTTTATTAAATGTTGTCCTATGAGAAATGTTATTGTATATGAAAATTTCAGTTTATTGGCTAAATTCTAAATCTGAGAAAAACAAGGACAAAAATTAGCCAGGTTTGGAGGAGGCCATAAAATTGAATTGCTATCCGGCAAAAAACCGAATTATTGCTTTGTTTTAGCTCTTACGTATTAAATTAAAAAATATTGGCAGAAGTTGTTTGCATTTTATATGTTCGTAATTTTTGACATACACTGCCTGTGTAATGCTGTCGTTTCGTACTCCTATATATATATATATAGGAGTACGAAACGACATATATATATATATATATATATATATATATATATATGTATATATAAATATATATATATATATATATATATATATATATATATATATATATATATATATATATATATATATATATATATTACTTACTTACTACATTTTTATAGCCTGATGCAAAATAAATATTTATTTTTCTTATATACTCTGCATAAACAGTTTTTTTAAACAAATATATAAATATTTTAGTTTCCAGGGTTACCCTTTTTTGTACATTATCTAATAGGTTTAACGCTGTAAAGCATAATTGCATTGACCAGCTTTGTGCAAACAGTATTTACAAGAAGATAAAATAAAATGCAGAAGTAAACAAAAACGGGTGGACTATCTAAATCTGAATCCATTTGCACTATTTTCAATTGGGTCCGTGTTTGGTCCAAAAAATAACTGTGCAAAATTCCATTTAATTTGATTAAATTTTTTAACACGATCAAGCTACGTGTGTTTGTTCGTCCATCCTTTAAAAATTATAATCAAACTCTAGGACGCAATTATGGACTGAGCTGATCAAAAAATACTAGAGAAACAAAATTTGCATTTGATTTTGTTTGTGCTCTGTAGGTTGCAATAATACTCCGATAGTTGCAAAATTTGAT